CAAACCAGAGCAGCCTTCACATTTGACAGCAATTAATACAGGGGGAGGGGAAAATCTACAGATCTGGTGGTGATGACAAATGTCTTCAGAAGAGTGACTGTGGGAATGTTCACAGCTATGCTAGTTAGTCTGTACCTCTCAGTGGGGCAGAAGGGAAACAAACACTGTTTGAGAGCCTGTCTGACTTACGGGGGTGAATTTATGCAGTGAAGCCTATACACACATAGCCTGCAGAGCTTTCGGGCCATTACCTATACGAGGGAATACTTCATGCCATAGTGAAAGCCTGATGCTTACCGTGTTAGGATGATGCTTACCTTACTTGTTGGATACAAAAGCTGATGGCTAACTTTTTATCGTTACAGACTATGTATTTGTGACACCTGTCAAAGTGGATTCCAGTGGATCATACATTTCACATGATGTTTTGCACAGTACTAGGAGAAAGAGATCAACTCAGAATTCAAAGAGTTCCTTGCACTACAAATTTTCAGCATTTGGACAGGAACTTCACTTAGAACTCAAACCTTCGACCATTTTAAGCAACAGTTTTATTGTCCAGGTACTCGGGAAAGATGGAGTCTCAAATTCTCAGGAACATGAAATTGAGCAGTGTTTCTACCAGGGATTTATAAGGAATGATAGCACCTCTTCGGTAGCAATATCTACATGTGTAGGCTTGGTAAGTGATTTAAAACAAATCACCATTGAAAGTATTTTCGTACGTGGAATAGTAGCTGAAGGTATGTAATTCATATAATGTTCAGGACACCATACAACATTTTCCTAATACCACTAGTTGCTATTGCATATAACAGAAGAGGTTTAGTTATAGCCAATGAACTGCAACACACCCTTTGTATTTTTGGATCACAGTCTTTCAGGAAAAAAACAGAAGACTGACTGGTAGTCCAAGTAATTATCCCATAACAATTTTCATTTGTTATAGATTGTGGTAGTTTATACCTTTTTACTTGCTCTTAAGTAAATGCTCTTCCTGCCTTTGTGAACTACTATGAATAAAGAAAAAAAAATCAATCCATAAGCTTGTGCGAAAAAAATATTGTATCTAGGTTTGTCATCTGCTTTAAGGAAGGGTGAATTTCCTTGCTCACCAGGAGTTACGAACCAATTTCCCTTCATTTCCTTTGACAATTCCAGCCTTATTCGGGTTTATATGTCTTGATTAGTTGATCTCTTATGAATGTGTTAAATATTATCATTGCATATTTTCCATTTATGGCTGCCATCCAAGTCCATGGAAAATTATTACTCACAAATGATTTTTTCAAAATACGTTTGACAGTGCTCATTGCCTGCAGAGAAGTCTTTACTGATGTCATGCAGAAGAATCATCTACAGAATTAATAGTTCTTGATGTTTTTTAGGCTTAAGCCCTTGCACTTGCAAAACAATCTCCTATGGATGCAGATGAAAGCAGTGCCATTTAATAGCGTTAGGTATAAGAAGCTATCTGTATGCTTTGTGGTTGACTAAGGTCCAGAGGATATGTTGGGTCACCCTCTAGAAAGCTGTTTTGCAAAGGTACTTGTCCCTAAGGGCTATTAAACTGTGTGAAGGGACCAAAAAAGGAGCACTTGAGACACCCAGTGTTTCCTTTGAAATAGTAATCAGTGACTTGAGAAGAGGGTGGTTCATTAGGAAGAGCTGTTGAATACTGATAACTGGTTGAAGTAGTCTGGATTATATTTCGAATGCTCGACTTTTTTTCTCAGCAAGTTAGAGGAATTTAGTATCTTACAGTTCATTTGAACAGTTGCAAATGTGACTTTGGTGCAGATGCCAGGAACTGGGATGAAGCTTTCTTTTGTTTTTTAAGTTGTGTTTGTAGCGCTGAACTGTTAAGGTCGGATGTGCTTAGTTGTTTCTGTGGAGGCTTCATTTTCTCAACTGCTAGCTTTTACCGTATTTATTCAGAAAAAAACTCTTTTCACTTACTGCAGTGTTCATCTTTTCCTCTAAGAGAAGTGCTCTTCCTACACACAACAGTTACAGTTCAGGTGATCTCCCCTGTTTGGTCACGTTTTGTTTTTTAACGTGCTTTATGAGCTAAGTGAAGCTGGGCTTGTTAGGTCTTGTCTGGAGAAGGAAGGTTCAAGTCTGCCTCAGGTCACAGCGAAACAGAATGTGGTGATCTTAACTGAGACTGAAATGGATCTTTTACCACTGTCTCGACATAGAGATTGTTATGACTGGTAAGCTTCACTTAGAAAAGATCCAGAAACTGATCAAAAGAGAATAAATATTGTGGCATGAACAAATTTATTATGGCAGTACCTTTTTCAGTACCTAGAGTATCACCAATTAGAATCTCTCTCTTTCTTTAATCAGTTCCAAGGTTCAATAGATTTCACCTTAAATTGTTATTTTAAACTGGTAAATGAAGTAAACCTTTACTAACCATAATCTCCTGCAGAGTAGGTATCACAAATAAAGTATAATTGTTCCTTTCTCCCTATCCATTTGTTAATTTCCGTGCACCTAATGAATCCCAGGCAAATTATCAACAGGATTATTAGTCTTCCAGTTTATGAGGCTGCTTTCTTTAAAATGTGTCGTCAGCTGTCTGTAATGACAACCACGTCATTTTTTACTGTGATCCAAATTCAGTAATCATATGTTAAGTCTGGACGCTGTGCTGTGATCAAGAGAACCTTGTGAATAGCTTCTATATCCTCTTTGCACCAACTACTTTTGTCACTTGGTTGCCCTTCTTTCCTATTTGCTTTGTTCGCTGCAATTAAACCGAAAGTGGTGTTTCTTCTATATGGTTGGTAGCACTAATCTTTCCATTGTTCCTTTCATTAGCAATAGCTTCTCTACAATAAAACTGCAGTGACCCATTCTTTCAAGCCTGGAACACCACAATGTGATTTGGAAGCAATTGCATTTCAATAGACTACAGGGACTCTTTGATCTAATTTTTTGGATGACCTAGAGTACTCAGTCATTCAGCTGTCTGTTATCTGCCATTGCCTGCAGAGTAGACTTTTGAGAGAGTCTATATGAAATGGTTTGTTAGGCAGGATGACCTTAACTTAACACTGGAAAGAAGCAAGAATTTGTTGCTTTGGTATAGATCTATTAAGAGATGTGTGTATCTTACTCACGTTTTAATAGCTTAGTTGACAGTAAAGCCCCACATTCTTATGCTGATTTGTTGATTTGAGACCAAATGTTTTCATCAGTCAACACAATTTTCTTGATGTGTCAGAAGGCAAAACTGGATCTATGCTCTTTATCTGAATGAGTGCTGTAATACATTAAGTTAGCATGTTAGGAGAATGTGTACAAGTTTACTATGAGTACTGTCTCTTGCCTTTTCATCATCAAAGTGCTTTGATTTTCAACAGGAAACTTGCTTTCTTCTGTCTTCTGCCCTCTCCTGCTTCAGTCAGCGTCCTTTACTTGCTGGAGCATCTGTTATGCAGCCAGAAAGCTGTGATTTTATTTCTTTTTTTAAATTAAATTAACTCATATGCAAGAAATCTTGTTTAGGTCTTCCTAAGTGTGTGTTTCACCATCAGGCATTGAGTAGCAGCATCATACTTACTTAGTGATAAGAGAGTATGATAGATTTATTAAAATTCAGTCTTATGTTGTATATCACACAGATTTGCTCAGTCGTTTTTTTAAAAAATGCTCAAAAGATGGATGTACTTTGTACACCTTCAGAAAAATGTGTTCTGGGCTATCTGTGGAGAATATGATACATTCCTTCCAAAGAAATTGTGATAATTTTTTTTCATTTTCATATATTTTGTTAATACATTCTCACTCTCAGGGGTGGGTTTTTTAACTCTTACAACTTTGGGTCAACGAGTTCATTTATGTCAGTAAATACAAAAACTGGTTTCTCTCTTTGGCATATCTTAATGTGGCCCAAATAGAAATTAATGCAAAATTCTCAACTTCTTTCTCCACTGGTATTCATTATTACTTTTAATAAAACTCCTCTGTTACCCCAGCATGACTTCTTGGAGTTTCCTTCAATCCCATGTGCCCTCCCAGTTGATATATCCAGGCCACTGGTTTGTCTTGCTGCTTCATCCTCTGTTGACGTTCTCCAATTCAAGCTGTTCATTCTTTCCAAATTCAATTTTTTTCCAAACTCCTGACTTGAGCTAATTCTTACTGATTGTAATTATATGTTTTTATTACTATTATCATTTAGTAATATATTATTACTTATAATTGCCTTTAGCTATCACTATGCCAAATCCACAGAATGCAGGGGCTTTCAGTTTTTCTGACGGAGATGGTGCTGGCTGCTGTTAGAATAAGAAATTGGTCTTTAGGACCTACTCGGTGTGCCTGTATCTGTATTCCTACCTCATTCCTCTTGCCTCATCCACATGTTGTGCTATCTGATCTGCATTAAAAACAGATATCTATTGTAGGTTCACCACCTTTAACTCCTCCGTCATGATGACATTGTCTCTAAAAGCCTCACTACTGTCTTCCTAGTCTGTGTACAAACTGTGTGTTGTTTGTCTCTATATGCTAGTTTTTGTCTCCTTTCTGTCTCCTTATGTCCTGCTTATGTTAGGTCTAGGTATACATCATCTCTTGTATAAAGAGAGTTGTTTGCAGTCACACAGTAAATCAGGGCAGAATACAAGAGAACCCCAGAGTTGTCAGTAGTCCAGTTGTGCTCTAGAGATCTTCTTAAAAGTAATTTATAACTGTGCATTTAGGAGCAGAAGTGGACAAGAACTCTCTCTTATGAAGTCAAACAAGTTAGCACTATAGTCTAATACATAACATAGAAAATAGTGAACATAATGAATGAGTAGTTTATTACATAGCATTTGTGGGGATGTTGCTGCTATTTGATGGAGAAGGCAGGTGAGGGTACATAGCAAGTATAAAACATGTGCGCCCAGAGGAAAGAAACATATGTACAACATAAAGGAACTCTCCTACCATTACATCACAGAGGAGACATGCATTTGTATTTTGGGTCAGAGGGAAAATCAGTACAGTTCAGTGGAACAGTTCAGGTCCTTTAAAACTATATGATACACAGTTTTATTGTTCAGGCCAAATTCAGCCCTAAGCAAATGCACTAGCACGGAGGCCTGAGAGGCTGCACCTGCTTACATTGGAGGTGAATGTGGGCCATTCTCTCCCTTTTATTTATGTACCTCAATTAGAAGAGTGGAGTCAGCTTCATGCATTAGCTAGTGCCCTCCTTTGTTTTTGGTAAGATGTGATTGAATCTTTCATTGTAAGGGGCCTCTTTCTCTTGTCTCAAGTTCTGTTATGTTTGTTAGTGTCTAGTCAAGGGAAGAGAAAGAGGAGGGAAGGATGAATCATGTTACACTCACTGAGCTGTCAAAGGAGTCTACGACTGGAGAAAGGGTTAGATGTAGCACTGAGAGATAAACAGGAGATGTATTAATTCAATGGAAGTTGTGTGTGCATGTCTGAGGGCAGGACTTTGCTCAAAGTATCAAAGAAGCCACAAAATTAAAGCTTCTTAACGCAGTCTGGCCACCTAAGAGGCAGGCAGGCAAGGCAACTCATGTAGCCATTCTTTGTAGTCGTTTAATTGCACCCTGTATTAGCATTATTTAAGTTCATGCTAACAACAGCCTCTTATTCCTAGAGCTCACATTTTAAGTCCAATTAAATGTGTTGAGACAAATCCCAAGGTTC